TCCAAGTGGAATGTCTTTTTCCTCTGATATAAATAATATATATTTTTTGTTTTTTTTTATAACAGTGAGTCAGAAAAGTGTGTTATTAAACGTGCTGGGAATATCTAACAAACCATTCGGTCGTTCGTGTTTTATTTTATTTTATTTAGAAAGCTTGTGGCCGAACCGGAAGTTATGTCTTTCAGTATCTACCAAAGATATTTTTGGGACTTTCTTTTCCGGCGTTGTCATATGACGCCAACGAGGCAAGTCGTCGAAACTCCTTCAACCTCTGAGGCAGTTTTCTGTCTTTATTTGTATCCGTGTACACGAGACAGAGGAAGAAATCATTTCACAACCATTCTTCCAAATCAAAACAAATATCACATGATGAAGTCACTGACCAAAAATATGGGTCCTAGTTCACCTGTTAACCATAAATGGAATTCTGCAAAGCAGTGCAGACACACTTTTGCTGCTGAATTTAGTTAAAGGAGACAGTACAAGACCATAGAGGGTAGTTTATTACTATTTCTTTTAATATTGATTTGGGTGATTACCCACACACACACAATTACATTTTGTCGTACAATATATGTTTACACTTCACGATTAAAAGTGCAAATCCCTGTATCAAACATGCTTTTCACAGGCACCATGTGTCATTATACTGTCCAAAACCTGAAAAACAACAGCAATAACGATACTGTATTAAGACATCAAAAGTATTTATGGACTGTGTCCATAATATCTGAGCTTTTGTAAAATGCACCTCTTCATTTGCAGGTTAGATTGTGTCCACTGAGGTATAAGAGCACCATGCTTTCAACACTTCCAGTTAATTTATTGTGTGGAAAACTGATTTAACATCTACTACTGCCACCATACGGAGGCAGCACATGTTTATGCCTCTGATATTTGGTGCGACTTTAAAAAAAGCACGCCAAAAATAGAAAAAATTAAACCGCAGAGATCTAATTTTGATCTCTGATTTGATGAGAATACTTAGTGAACTCATAAACACTGTGCAAATCACCACCATTTCTTATCCCAGTGGGATACTACAAAGACATAACCAACTACTAAGACACAATTTTCCTCAAAATGATGCATTTTTTTATGATTAAATTTGAATATTGCATCAGGGGCCATTCTTCTTTCTTTAAGGCAAAAATATTCTCTCTGCACATGTCTTTGTTTCATTCACTTCCAGAGGAATCAGCTCAGACAGGAAACATGGAACCAAGGCGGAAGGAGAAGGAGGAGAGAACCACTCTGAGTCTCAATTTCCATCTGGAGAGGACAAGAGAGGACTTGTTAATGAGACCTACACAATAATAAACACTAAGAAACATTAAGAATCATTAAGCAGTGGTCAGCCATGCAACCGGACACGTATTAATTTATCTTAAATAGATCAACTCTGGTGAAATCCTCAAGACCTCAGTTTAAATTTTAGTCCACGGCTTTTCAGGACTGTAGGTCAGGTTGTTTTGGACTAAAGTCTCTTCTACAACCAGCTGGGATAGTGTTGTGAGTGAGTAATAACTTGCTGTATTCAGCAAGGCTTTCCTTGAAAAATATAACTTTTATTTGGCAACGCCCATGTTTGATTGAAAATCTGTAAATAGAATCTGGAATTATAGGTGCTAACAACAGAATAAACCTTTATAGTATTTTTCAGTTCATCTTGAATTGGCTGAGGATTAAAAAAACACAAAAAAACTGGTGTTTCTGGATCTTGTGCAACGTTTTTGTTTTTTGAGCATGGTTCAGTCCTATTTGCAAAAGGAAGAAGTAGGAAGTATCACCTGAATGCGATAGCTGACTTTCAAAATAAAATGAATAAATATGAGATATGAATTTAAGATGGAAAATGAAGAATAAAAAACACTCAAATTCTATGTTTTTAACATGAACTCAGCTACCTTATGAGATGATTTTCTGCATAGATTATTCCTTTTTGATTTTTTAACACATTTCCATAGCATCCCGCTCAGTTTTTGAAACATAATCATGGATGCAGATGGTTTCTTCAGTAATACACGCAACGGCGGCCATTTCGACAAATAAAACCCTTCAGAAAATATACATGAAATCATGCAAAAATGTTTGTGTTGAGAAATGAATTGGATAATGTAAGACTCCAGTTGTAGTGTAAAACACATGAATCAAATTAGGTCAAAATAATCAAATTGTAATCATTTTAATCATTAAGTTGAAAAGAAATTTGTGGTGAGTATCCCCGCCTGTCACGCGGGAGACCGGGGTTCTATTCCTCGACCAGGAGCCAAATGTTGGTGCAATTTAAGTTTAATTTTTGTAATTCACATGTTCTGTTTAATTTTAAGTAGTTAAAATATATTTCAGTTTGAACAGAGCCATATTAAAATGAATTGTTTGGAATTATTAGGATTTATTTGGTCATTTTTTAAGCTCCTCCTATTAATTTGGGAGAGTAAGAACAGCCACATTTTCACAGATCTGCAGTTTAAACGTAATTCAATGTTTTTACTACTCAGTAGTCGTGCTAATAGTAGTGCTAACTACTACAGTGGTGGTTAGAACCAAGTTATGTGTGTCTTTCCTGGGGACAGCAGCTCCTTCACTCCACCATTAAAACATGCACGTTGGGTTAATTTAGGATTCTAAATTGACTTCTGGCTGTCTTAAATTTTACATTAGTTGGATAGATGGCAGTATGGAGCAACTTTCATGGACCCTAATCTGAAAAAACAAATGCTGCCACCAGGGGCCAGCAGAGGCAAGAAGGAACTCCATGCTGGACGTTGATATTTCAATCTTAGATTTGTAATATTCAATTTAAGGTCATGAAAAAAGCCAATCGTATTCTTTTCAGTTCAAATATGGCACTATATGTCAACTAGTCCCTTCAAAGTTTTTTTATTTCACAGTTTAAATTAAAATGTAGTGATTATGGGAGTTTAGCTGCTTTGTGAAATTAAAAACTTTTAATTTTCCCATGTGAAATAAGATATTGTACCAATGAACAACATTTGTGATGGCCGTCAATCCAATTATCCATTTTGAAATTAGATCATTTTACTTAAACTATACGTCCAGATGGAGCCAGTGCTGTGTGTGTACCTGGGCCCTGCAGCACAAAAGATGTGTGTGTCTCCGGCTGGTGTTGTGTTCATAGAAAACAGCCGATGTAGGCCCAAACCCTCTGCAGGATGAGCAGGAAGGCCAACAGGTAGAAGAGAATCGTAACGACCTAGAGAGAGGGGAAGGGGAAGGACGACAAAGAAGGCACACGTAAAGAGGATGTTTTTATTATTTTAACACTCGGCAGCATCGATTTTGTGAGTTTCGTCACCAATGTGATAGATTCTATTGATGAGAAAATGAATGGAACCATAAGGACTGGCATCAGTTTTGCATTGAAACATGTGTTCAGACTCCCGTAAAGGTTCCCTAAAGCAACACCCAACAGAGGACAGTGGTTTTGGTACTCTACCTGCTGTGTGCTCATCCCCTCCTGATCGCAGTCGTTTGCCTCTTTCACGGGATGATGGCCGTCAGACGTCTCTACTTTTTCTCGGGATTCCACCCTCTCCTCCCCGCCGCCTGTCGTGATCTGATCGGGTCCTTTGCTTGAGTCCAGGTCCTCTTTGTCCAGCTGCATAGGCTCCTCCACAGACTCCACCGGGTCCCTGGCCGGGTCCCTGGCCGTTTTCCTGGCCGTTTCCCTGGCCGGGTCCCTGGCCGGGGGGTCCCTGGCGGGGTCCCTGGCCGTTTCCCTGGCCGGGGGGTCCCTGGCAGGGTCCCTGGCCGTTTCCTTGGCCGGTTCCCTGGCCGGGTCCCTGGCCGTTTCCCTGGCCGGGTCCTTGGCCGGTTCCCTGGCCGTTTCCCTGGCCG